TAGGAGGATTGCGGTCAAAGCCAGCCTGGGCAAATAATTCACGAGGCCCTATCTTGAAAAAACCCATCACAAAAAAGTGCCAGTGGAGTGGCTCAAGGTGTAGGCCCTGAGTTCAATGCCCAGTATCTCAAAATAAATAAATAAATAAAAATGAACACCAAATGAACAAATAATCCAATCAGTAAAGGGGCAAAGGAACAGACAGCGCTCAAAAGTGTACAAATGGCCAATAAATAAAAACATGGAAAAAAATTCACACTTTTAGCCATCAGGGAAACGCAAATCAAAAACAAGAGTCCATCTCACCTCAGTCAGAATGGCTATCATTAATAGAATACAAAACACTGGCAAAGATGTACACGTATGTACGTGTGCGTGTGATGGGGAGAGCAATCCTTATACATTGTTGGTGGAAATGTAAACTAGTACAGCCACTATGGAAATCAGTAATGGAGGTTCCTCAAAACACTAAAAGTAACCAGGGACCGGTGGCTCACTCCTGTAATCCTAGCTATTCAGGAGGCAGAGATCAGGAAGATCGCAGTTTGAAGCCAGCTGGGCAAGTAGTTCTGAGACCCTATCTAAAAAACCCTTCATAAAATATTGGGCTGGTGGAGTGGCCTGAGTTCAAGCCTCAGTACCGAAAAATTAAAAATAAAATCCCGTATTATCTAATTATGCCATTCCTGGGTGCACACCCAAAGGAATCTCAGTCACATACAAGACATACCAGCACACCCATGTTTACTGAGGCACTAGTCACAATAGCCAAGTTATGAAATCATCCTAGGTGCCCATCAACCAATGACTAAAAGAAAATGTCACACACACACACACACACACACACACACACACACAGGAGTGTTATTGAGTATTATTCAGCCTTAAAGAAGAATGAAACTATGTCATTTGCAGGAAAATGGATAGAATTGGAGATCATGATGTAAAGTGGAATAAGCCAGACTCAGACAAGTATGGCATGTTTTCTCTCATATGTGGAATCTAGATTTTAAAAAGACGTTAAAGTAGAAGGGGAACTATTAGGGAGGTAGAAGGGGACCAGAAAGAGAGAAGGGAAAGAGAGGGTATGGGGGGTATATATGATAAAGTATATTATAGACATGCATGAAAGAGTCATAATTAAAACCCATTTTTGTAAAATTAATATTTGCTAATATTTTTTAAATGATTGTCAGCATTAAAATACCAAATTCATAAGTTGCACTTCTATTTAAATCTCTACTCCCAGAGTCAGCTGTTGATGATGTCTATATGCTCATGTAACAACTCTGCCCTTTGAAATGAATTGGCATCTGCTGCCTACCACCTTCATAAATTTTATTTGCCAATAAGGCAAAAAAAAAAAGTCTCTGGTAGAGTGGCTCAAGTGGTAGAGCATCTTCCTAGCAAGTGCAAGGCCCTGAGTTCAAGCCCCAGTACCACCAAAATAAAGTATCAATGGATTTGTGTTTCTGGAGCAGATGGCATACCGAGTCCCCAGTTTTCCTTCCTCCTTGCTCCTCCCTTGCCTTTATGTATACAGTAAGAACATCTTTCCTCCGTCTTTTATAACCTATCACTAGCTTTTTCTTTTCAAATGTGGCTCAAGTCTGGTCATCAAACAGAAACACTGCCAACAGAGAAATAAAGAGCCACTCACATAGGTATGCACTAATAAAAATTTAATATCATAAAACAAATCAGAAAACAGCAGTTTTTTTAAACCATTCACAATTAAAGTGGAAAAAGACAAAATTATAAGGCAGCCATCCATGGAATGATTTCATGTGTACAAAGGATCCAGAAAAAGACTTTTAAAATCACTGTCCAGGCCACCGAGCCAGGGGAACTGCAGTGTTATCCCACAAAACTCCCAGCTTGCCAGAAGATGCCACCAGACAAAGAGCAAAATCTCTCTTTGTGTCAACCAACTATATTAGAATGAGAACATCGAGAGGACTCCTAAACATCTGGCTCGTCTTTTTCCACAAGTCACGCACTTCCTTCAGGTCTCCTGAGGTGAATTGAGATGTTTCAGGTACAAAAAGGTTACATCATTGGTTTTAATTTCATAGCATCTCCAATAGTGCTCTTTGGGCAATATGGATCATTCTGTACCAAGCAGATGTTTTCTGATGCAAGGAAGGGTTCCCTGTAGAACAACTACTGAGGGTTCTCTCCTTGCACTGCAGCAGTTGGGGATAAATGTGGTCATTATTCTCAGTCTCCCCAGGGCCTCAGGGCCCAAGAGGCAGGAGCATTCTTTGGGGGCTTGTGCTGTTGACATAGAGTTTCCATGCTCAGTACCTTGCTACCAACTGTGTTAGGGACTTAATATAGCCAATGCTGGTGTGTCCTCCTAGTTCTAATCCTTGAAAAAGAGAAAAACCAGGATATGACACCTAAAAGTAGGCTGGCAAAAAACACAATTACATTTTCTCTTTTCTATAAGAAATGACACCTTAAAACAGCCACTCTCTTCCTTTTCTCCAAAACACCAAACAGGCTGACTTGGCTGTTTTGAATTGGGAGCAAAAATGGTTAAGGGAACAGGGAAGGACACAGAGCCTCTGTAGGTAGCACTGTTTCCAATTCTCTACATTCCAGTGCAGACCTCTGCCAAAAAAGAAAGAAAGAAATCTGGCAACAGCATGCACAGGAAAACCAAATCAAATCTGGCACATGGCTGCTTTGGTGATGTGGGAGCTGGTAAACAACTAGCTGGAGAAGAAGTGAGGGAGATGGATCGGTAGTGTTTTTCAACTTAACCTGCAATTTAAGAGAACACTTGGAATCTGAAGAAAATCTATCCCTATAAGGAAAGGGACTCAAATTGCAAATAAGATTGGCTTTGGTTATGATGAAGGATGGATCGTGCTTTTCATCATCAACTGTATCTCTTTGGTAGCCAATAATTCCATTTGTAATCATGGCAGCAGTGGAAGTATCACCAATGTTTCCAAATGTGTCAGAGCAGTAAGGCATCCACATCTAAGGAGGCAGTTTCAAACAGGAGGAAAATGGTACTGAAATGTGCTAAAAAGTGAATATGGAGATGGCCTCTTTGGGGACACTGCTCACCCTGTGAGCAAGCTCTTCCTCTAGTGAAGGAGGCCTCTGCCATGCTGCATGGTTCCCTGCTATCTGAAGATGCATTTGAGCCCTATTAAGATTTGTATGGCTATTTCTGCCTGCTGGCCAGAGGAGGAATGAGCAGTTCCTGAGGCAGCAGCTTTAGGATCTGGGAAAGCCCACAGCTTCTGAGAGCTCCTTAATATTGAGGTCCAAAGGGGAAGGTGAATTTAGAAGTTCGATGGTTCAATCCTTGTGAGAGTTTTAAGGCCCTATCCAGCAAGGTATTCTAGCCAAATTTTTAAGTGTGATGGCAAGGCACTGCTGATAGAGGCTTTGGCCAGCAGAAAAAATTTCTGACCACTGCACACAACTACATGATAGAAATTATTTCTATCCAAACCAAACCAGACATAAAAATCTTCTCTTTACTTGACATAGTAGGTTTCTAGAAAGAATCAAGGCAACCATAATTTGGAAGGACCAGATGAAACCAAGCTCTTATGAGTCAACTGTCACCATCTAATCAGAAGAATCACTCAGACTTTCAATATTGCACCTTCTGTTTTAACACTGGATGCAACAGTCTCTAGCCACTATAAAAAAATCATATCCTACTTTCTTTACTGCAGCCAGCAGAGGGCTCACAAGTTTAACTCCACAGCTGCCAAACCAGTGACAAATCTAGGAAATCATAGGCATTCTGGCTTATGAGTCATACAAAATGTGTTTATAAATAACTAAACGCACTACCCTGAAGAAACTTGTCTTGGTTCTCTCTTAATGTAATGTGTTTTGAAATGGTTCAAAAAATCAAAATAAATTATTAACACAGTATTACACACTTATTTAACAAAACAGGATTTATGTGGATTTTGGCAAACATGGAAAAATTACCTTAGTTTGTTAAATACTTTCACTTCTCAACTGTTTAAATTATGAGAATATTTTAGTGATTGTGTTTACTTACACATGAGGAGGTGATGTTCTGAGGGCTTACCAAAGCTGTACTTGACACAAAGGTAACTTATTTGAAGGGACTAAAGAATAGAGACAGTATCTTCATCATTACAGTTCAAGAAGTGGTGTCCTGATGTGAATTCATTTCACACAACTACTGACATCGCCACCACAGTAAGCAGCGAATTGTGAAGTAGAGGAGCAAGAGGGAAACGTTGGGAGAAAAGCATGGGAAAGATGAAAACAAAAGAGACATGATTTCTGCAAGTTTTAAACCAACAGGCAGACACTTCCCACTTATGATACAACGAGACTTTCTTCATGCTACAGGTGCTCAGCTAGAGGGACTGCTAATCCACCAAAGAAATACATAAAAAGGAAGGAAAAAAGGACAATATAGATTGTGATTCTGACCTTTTAAAAGGATCACTGAAATAGATATCAATAACTACCCAAATTCATTTAAAATGTAGCATCCCTTCATTTCCAAAGATACTTTGTGATGGGACTGTTCTTGAAGGAAAGTGTAGGCCCAAACCTACTAGAACTTAGCTCCTCTGTAATGGGTTGGAGGCGGCTCTTCTGCAAAGGAAACTTGAAAGAAATGCTAGAAAATACCAGTTCCCTCTTCAGAAGCTGGTCCACCTCTGCTGCTCCACTGGATGAAATGGCAGGCTGCATTTAGAGAGGCACGTGCAAAGGAGGTGTTTAAGACTCTCTAGACATCCCCTTTCAATGGATATCTCTTTTGAGCTTAAGGTTAGCTTTTAATGTGTCTTGCCCTTATTTTCCTTCTATAATCTCAACTCAACCTTGATCATCTTTAGCATCTAAGAGAGTGGGTGTTATGACCTTCTTATCAAGGCATATGCTAAGATGCTAAAGCACCAGTCTTCCATGGTGAGAACTATGTTAAAAAACAATGGGTAAAGTGGTACAGCCTCTAACCTAAGAAAAAAGGCATTTAGTTTAATTACACAACACTGTATTTTCATAATTACGATTTCATTTTGAATATGAAGTTCTCCACTTTTCCTTAAAACTAAATTCCATCTTCCCTGAGAATAGGGTTAAGAGAAACATCAAAACTCAGTATGCCAAAGGCCCTTTAAAAAGACAACACCAGTCTATACCTAATGATCACAATGTGTTGTTCCTACTCTACAAGCTTTTCCGTTACTCCAGGATTGAATCTCACCTCCTCCAGACTCTGGGAACACAGGTGGAGATGGGCAAGGTGAGACAAGACACTGAGGAAGTGAGTAGCTGTCATGAGTCTGCTGTTCTCACTGGATGGCAAACGGCCATGGACTGAGGCGGAACTTGAACATTTAATGCTGGTGACCTACTGACAGGATGAGTGGGATGAGGCAACCCAGAACTAGAGCTGCCACCTCCAGGCGGCTGAGGCCTCTCCCTCCAGTGCTGTCAGGTTTGTGGCTGTGCCCCATTCCGCCCACCTCAGGGAGGACATGTACTGTGGCAACATAAAGAAATGTCCCAGCAGAGAAAAGCATGGCCACTCCAGTGGCATTGACCTCTGAAAGAGCTTCTTTACTGCTCTGCAAATTAAAAGAGAAAAAGGAAAAAATTAAGTCATGTAAAATTCAGGTTTAGTAAGAAGTCCTAATAAAACTTAATATTCACAGCTTGTGCTGTCTGGGAAATGGGGGACATCTTGAGATCAGAGTAGTTCTATGTCATTTATGAGGCTTCCAATAAGGGTTTAAGAATACTAGCAATGTATACAATTGTTTTTAAAATTTTTATTTTAAATCGTCAACTTATAATTATATACATTTATGGGGTACAAAGTGATGTTATGATTTATGATATAATGTGGAATAATTAAATCAATCTAATCAAGATTTGAACTACTATCCATTACTTCAAATACTTATATTTTTGTGGTAAGAACATTTGAAAGTTACTCATCAATTTTTTTCTTGGCAGTACAGGTTTGAACTCAGGGCCTCACGCTTGCTAGGCAGGCAGTCTACCACTTGAGCCACTCCACCAGCCCCTGATATACTATTAACCAAATTCATTGCACTTGCTTCTTTTTTTTCTTTCTTTTTTTTTAGAGGGCAGGGACGGGTTTGAACTCAGGGCCTTGCACTTGCTAGACAGGGGTTCTACCACTTGAGCCACTCCACCAGCCCTTTTTGAGTTGGTTATTTTTGAGATAGGGTCTTGCCTGATTTATGCTCCTGGATGCAATCCTCCTACTGGTGCTTCCCCTGCAGCTGGGGATGAAAGGAACATGCCACCGTGCCTAGCCATAGGTTGAGATGGGGTGTAGCTAACTTTTTGCCTGGGCTGGCCTCAAACTACAATCTTCCTGATCTCCATCTCCCAAGTAGCTAGGATGATGGGCTTGAGCTGAGCAGGCCTGCAAATGCTTTTCAAAACAAACTTCAAGGGCTGGCTGAACAAGTTCTGCTTGTATTCTTTTTTTTTTTTTTTTTGGAGGGGGTGCTTGAGGGGGAGCAGGGGCTTGAACTCAGGGCTTTAAAGCACATATTAAGTTTCAAACATTAATTCGCTTATTTTAATATTTAACAAGTATCCCTTATGTGCCAGGCTCTAGGTCAGGTACCTGAGATACAATGCTAACCAAGATGCAATAGCTACCCTCATAAAGCTTAGAACGATCTCATTTGCTACACTTTATATAACTAAATTTCAGTCTTTTCTATTAAAAAGGGGGACCTATAGATTAAGATGATTAGTTAAAATTTTAAGAAAAGAATTTGCCACACATGTAGCATGTAACTCCATACCTCTAGAATTATTAGTACCTTCCTGTAAAAAAATTTAAAACATTCATCAGTGAAGTGAAGAAGTCATAATTTCAAGGGAACTATATATTGCTCACAAGATTCTTTAGGTGAATGGAAAGGGGATTTAATAACAACTCATTTGTTAGCAAACGAGACCAACAAATGGGGCTGGAGGCATTGGCAAGGGGTAGAATGCCTGCCTAGGAAGTTCGAATCCTTGATTTCAAACCCTAACAAATCCTTATAACATGAACTTAATTATTCTTTAACTATCTCATTTGTTGTATATTCCTTTTAATACAGGTTTTACTACATTGTAAAATGATGAATTAATGACCTTTGGAGAGCCCAGGTAGGCCTAGAAAAGGAAGAGTGCTCAGCTCTGGGTTGACAAATGATTCATCATTTTAGGCCTGAAGGTATGTTCAATGAAAAAGAACTCCAATTTAATCTTTGGTGATATTGACAGCTGGGAGAAGAAGAATCTGAGCCTTAGCTAAATAAAGCCATCTTTGCTCACCCTCTATTCTTCCAAAGGTTGCCACATGCTTCATGTGCCTGTCTCAACATTAAATGCAAGGGTTGTGACTTACTACCAAGTAAAATAGGCATTACTACAATATTCTAAATATTAGAGCTCTATTATATATTTGTATAGATATTCTTGGAACTAATAGGAAAGGTTTCAAATGAAATGAATAAAGAAATATTAAATCTGTAAAGAAGACTGAGTTGGAATTAAGACATTTACCTTAAATAGGTTTTTATTCCTTATTTTTATCTTTAGTTTGAGAAAGTAATTTAGTTGAAAAATTCAACGTAAGAGATCCGAAGTTCTAGCACATCACAGACACATGTCTAGATAAGGAGGGATGCTCAGACTTACCTTACTCAGTCCTAAGTATGTCACCATGGACATAACTGGTGCTGCGAGAGCAAAAACCAGCAAGTGCTTTCTGATTCGATTCCGCTCCAGGCCAGCATGCATTAGGAAGGAAACCAGCCCAAATGCTGCTGGTGCCTAGAAAGAACAAAGTATCCCTTAGTATCACTCTGTAAGTATGGCTTGCTTCTACATCAGTAAGTACATGTCGTTTGACTATGAACTCTCTTACCAAAATCCCAGGCATAGCACCAACACTTAGGTTACTTAACCTTTTAGAATTAATGTTCTAAGTCAAGAAAAGATCCTGTGTGTGTGTGTGTGTGTGTGTCTGGTGTGTGTGTGTGTGCGTGCACATGCATGTATGTATGTGTGTGTTTCTTGGATAGTAGGAAAACAGTAAAGAAAAGAAAAATACTTATGAACAAAATTCCATGAAATACAGAAATCTGTAAGAGAATTCAACAGTTTGCGTATATGAGCATTTAAAAAATAATAAAGACTCTTAAGTAGGAGTTAAGAACATGGTAGCAAAAAATAGCTTTGAACAGACTTACTCAATTCCTCAAAATGACTAGCAATTAAGAAACTCAGAGACTTTTTCCATTCCAGAAACACATTAAGGACCAAGAGAAATTTTTCTATTTTTTCCTCTTTTTTTTTCCGGTGCTGGGGACCGAACTCAGGGCCTTGCACTTGCCAGGCAAGCACTCTTCCACTGAGCTAAATCCCCAACCCCAAAGAGAACTTTTAATTACAAATAAAGACAGTCAATTCCACATCCTGACTTACCTTATGTAGCATTATTGCCACAAAAACGATTAACTGGACACTGGTCTGTGAAGTAGAAGCTGCTGCTCCCAAAGCTACACCATCAGCTAAGTTTGGAAACAATGAAACATAACATGCAATAAACAGTAAAGTAACAGATGAGTGTGGGGGCCTTAGAGTGAAGTACAGCTGGACTGACTCTGGGAAGTTACCTATCCTTTCTCAACTTTATCCTTCTTGCCTTTCCTAAAGCTTTCATGAGGATTAAAGGAGAGAACATATGGAAAGCTTAGCACCCAGCCCAGAGTATTCGATGTGTCTGTTTTGCTGTTAATGGAAAAAGTGTGAAACTCAAAAATCCATAATGACTAAGCAAATGCCAAAGAAGAATCTCAAAGAAAGCATCCCTTCATCTTCCGGATAAAGACACTTGATCTCACATGATTTAAGCATGATGAGTGCATTGGCTGAATGGGTAAATTTTGTCAGAAAAGCATGTTATACCAGGGACACCAAAAAATAGTGCGCCCCTTTCACATGCCTTTGTTTGCTACTGACAGAGTCCTACTACTAGGCCTAGTTTTGGGTTATGACTCTGAACTGAGCCCCATCAGCAGTGCTGAGACTTCAGTGTTCCACCTACTACCCTCGCCTACACTGGGCAGCAAGGCTATTCAATACATGAGATTCTAGAGCAGAGGTCAGCAAACTCCTTCTTCCTTTTTTTTTTCTTTTTTTTGTGGGATTGGGGTTTGAATTCAGGGTCTCAACCCTTGCAAAGCAGATGCTCTACTGCCTGAGCCATACCTCCAGCCCACAAAAAGATAGTAAATATTTTAGCTTTGCAGGTCATTTTGGTCTCTCATAACTACTCAACCCTCTCATGTCTGCCACTGAGCTATATCCCAGGTGATCTGGAATCTGCAATTCTTCTGCTTCAGGCTCCCAAGTGCTAAGACTACAGGCATGCATCACCATACCTGGCTTATTCTTTATTTTTAACAATTAAAAATTATAGAAACCATTCTTAGTTTGTAAGCCTAATAGAATATGCCAGAGCTTGTGGTTGTGCTGGAGGACTTCATTAAGCAACCCTCCCCAAAGTCCAGCCTAAGAGCATTCAGTGTGATTGTCTCAGTAATACTGTCTTTCTTTGTGTCACAGGAAGGAGAGGTCCCACTACAATCCAATCCTACCTGCAGCATGGACGACCAGGCCCAGCGTGGTAGTGATTTTGGAACTGATGGGTCTTGTTGTTTCTGGATCTGCATTGAAAATGAGAAAGAAGCACTGGGTGAGACAGAAACTGTTCAAACATTGGTCTAGAGATGGATGATTTTTTTTTTTGGTGGGGGGGCTTGATATGTAGTCCAGGTTGACCTTGAACTCAATAGTTGCTTAGTAAGTTCTTGCTGGAGAGTGAAAAAGAATATTAATCATTTTTACAACATGAAGGTGTTACTGTTATTACAGGAAACATACAAGTAAGTAAACATTTTCCAAATGATGTAATGTTAAAAGATGAAGTCATGGAAATGCCAGGTGAAGTCATGCATGGATCAAATGTCATATTTCAGGGGGTTTGATCTTGAGAAGCCTAGCAGACAGAAGAAAGGGTTTACAATGTAAGAAGTATATTAGTAAAGTAACATGTTACTTTCTAAGGATAAACTTTGTTATCCTTTAAAAACACTACAAGGAAGGGAAGCTAAAGTCATCAGTCACTCTGAGATAATAAATCTTTCAATATCACCCAAAATGAGAAGAACAGTCATATAACTGTGTGTGAATAAAATGAACTTGCTTTGGCCTTTCTTTAGAGAGAACATAGTCTTACGGTCTAGTTATAAGTATCATCTTAAAAAACTCTATGGTTATTTTGTTTTGTTTTTGAGACATAGTCTTGCTATATTGCCCACGCTGGCCTTGAAGTCATATACTGAAGAACTCCTCTTGCTGAGCCTCCCAATGCATCTTAAATAAAAATCGGAGGCATTAAAATTAAACCATGGTTTCTGTAAATCCATGACAGGACTGTACTTCAGCATAAATTTAATAAATGAACTTTTGCTGATAGTTAATAATTCATAAAACCCTGCAAAGAATATGTAAAACTATGTCATAAGACACAAAAGCCAGCAAAAACAGTGGCCTCAGATAAAGCAAGAGAAAGGATAAAGAAACATGCTACATTTAATTCCCCATATAAGAACTGAGGGCACTGTCCAGCTTATACGGTTTATTTAAAAACTTTTTTTCAAGCGGGATGCTGGTGGTTTACTCCTGTAATCCTAGCCACTCAGGAGGCAGACATCAGGAGGATCACGGTTTGATGCCAGCCTGGGAAAACAGTTGAAGAGACCCTATCTTGAAAAAAACAATCCAAAAAAGGACTGGCAGAGGGGCTCAAGTGGTAAGAGTATCTGCCTAGAAAATGCAAAGCCCTGAATTAAAACCTCAGTACCTCCAAAAATAAAACCAAACCAAATCAACAAATGAAAATACTCACCAACTCTTTCCTCTGCCTGACCGTCTTGCCCCATTTATTTCATCGCTTATATTTAAAGCTTTCTTTACCATTTAGAAATTGCACACACCACTCATCTCCAGGTACTTCAATAGGTATTTTGTAAGAGAAAGCTTATCATGATTATCTTACATAATCATGATAGTTACCAACTTCAGTAAATTTAACTTATTTTTTTTCTTTTCTGTTGCATATTCTAATTTTGTCAATTACCTAATGTCTTTCAGAGCCTTTTTCCTTTCCAGGAAAGAACAAGTTTATGATTTACACATTGTACATTACATTGACAGTTCTGGAGAACACATTCTCCTCCTTGCATCTTCCTTGCTTTTTAGTAAAACAATCCTTCCTCTCAGGCACGTCTGATGTGTCCTTTGAGTATGTGTTCTTGGGTGGAACGAAACATGGGCGATGACTCTCAGGGTATTACATCTACATCCAAAGACACAGGATGTACAACTGCTGCTTACAGGTGCTGATAATGTAGGGTTAGATACCAGACACACTGTCAATACTGTTAATGAATACTCTAGATTCTGGTATATTCCTCTAGAGAACTTTTGTTGCACTTTAAGTAACCTGTTTTGCCTTAAACTGTAAACCCTGTATCTCTTGGACAGCTACTCAAATCTCAGTTTAATTCTTTTATCTTCAGCTGAGTTTTCTGGGGTCTGCCCATGTAAACATGGTTCAAGGGTCACCCAGAGATCTGAGCAATTAACATGACATTAATTTTGAATATCTGGTCAGTATTGTTCCATTTCTTCATTTAGTTACTTCTTTTCCCCTTACACCAAAAAAAAAAAAAAAACCAAACAAAATTTACCGGTAGATTTAACATTCATTAATGATTACATTTATTTAAATTTATTTTTTGGTGGTACTGGGGTTTGAATTCAGGGCCCCATGCTTGCTAGGCAAGTCCTTTACCACTTGAGCCATGCCACCCAGTCCTTTTTCTTTTGGTTATTTTTCAGACAGGGTTTTGTATTTTTGCCTGGGCCAGCCTCAGGCCACTACTTTCCTACCTTATGCCTCCTGTGTAGCTTGGATTACAGATGTGCCCTACTGTGGCTGAGCTTGTTTGTTGAGATGGGGGGGGAGGTCTCACTACCTTTTTCCTTAGGCTGGCCTCAAACTGTATCCTCCTGATCTCCGCCTTCTGAGTAGCCGGGATTTCAGATGTGCATCACCACACCCAGGCCTCACTGATTATTTTTGCTTGAGTGAACTTTTACTATTACTATTAGAAATACATTGCAAAAATGATGATTTTTTTTTCCAAGTCTCTGATTCTTTCCACATTGACTGGCATTCAGCAGTAAGCAAGTTTCCTCTCGTCTTCTTTTATCAGAATTCTGTATTTTAGTGCTCAAACCATCCCAGATTTGGCCAGTATGAGCTCCTTTAAGCTCCTGCCTATATCCTGTGATATGTTCCTGTCTTCTAACCACTTCACCACCCCCTCTTTTGGTAATGAGCACTAGACATTGCAAATTCACTTATACTTACCCTCCCCATTCTATATTCCGTCATTTCTCTGACATGCACTGGCGCACTCAGCTACTGGGTATCTTTACTTCTAAGCCCTATCTGTAGACATATGCATGTGTATGTAAACACACACATATGTACAAACATACATATATATACATTTTAGAGATCATGACTCCAACATGTCCATTTCTAATCTATTTTTACAGGGACCCTTTCTTGCTTTTCCTCCATTCTGCATTTGAGTGTTACTTCTTCCACAATAAGTACCTTGGCCCCATCAATATATTCACTCATTTGCTCCTATAATATATCTGTAATAGTTTCAGAATTGCTTTGCCCATACCATTACAAAAAGCAAAACCTACTAGAGCTCAACATAGTGGCTCACACCTGTAATCCTAGTTACTTTGGAGGCAGAGATAAAAGGCTAATGATCTTAGGCCAGCCCAGGCAAAAAAAAAAAAAAAGAAAGAAAAAATTAGTGAGAGTCTATCTTAAAGAACAAGCTAAGGGCTGGTGGAGTGGCTGAAGCGGTAAGAGCACCTGCTTAGCAAGCGTCAGGCCCTGACTTCAAACCTCAGTGCCACCAAAAAAAGAAAAAACCAAAAAACCAAAAAAACCCCACAAGCCAGATGTAGTGGTTTGTACCTGTAACCCCAGCTACATGGGAGGCATAGGTAAGAGGATTACAGTGTGAGGCTAGGCAAGGCAGAAATGTGAGACTCTACCTGAAAAATAACTAAAGGAAAAACAGCTGGTGGCTTATCAAGGTTAAGAGCACTTGTCTAGCAAGTGGCAAGGCCTTGAGTTCCAACCCCAGTACTGCCAAAAGCAAACACACAAACAAAAGAAAAACCTACTGGAAAGAGTTCAATATTTGTTTATGATTCTTCTCTAATTCTACCCAAGGCTATCAGATGAGGCATTCATAAGTTACTGGAATTAGTTATTTTAAAAAAAACCCTTTCTATGTGGTTGCATTATTTATTTGAAATACAGCTCATCTGTTTCAGCTAACTTCATTATCAATGTTGATTGTATTTTAAAAAGCACTCATTATTAACATGCTTCTCAAAATCAAAAATACATTTAAAAGGCATGCTTAAAGACATGTCATGTCCTCCTAAAAGCCTTCAGCACTCTCAACCCACCCAGTACCAGTGACCACTGTGTTTGTTGTTCAACTGGTCCTTCTTCTGCTTCTTCTCTGTAAAGGTAGCAGGCATATGGATCTTTTCTGCATTTTCCTTTGTTCTTACACAAACCAGTATATACTAGATGCTCGCTTACATTTTTGCTGTTTGTTGCCATTTACAATATCTCCCTAATAGTTCACAGATACCTGATTTTTTTCCTTATTCTTTTATAGCTACATAGTATCCCATGATGTTAACTATGTATAAACTATGTATAAACACCAAAGTGAAAGAGCGAACACAATGAATAAACGGATAAATGAACTCAGGACAAAAATAGACAACATTAAAGAGGAAAACTGCCAGGATATGGAAAACCTCAGAAAAAAGAACGAAACAGAACTGCAAAACAAAACGGAAGGCCAATCCAGCAGAATAGAACAAACAGAAGACAGAATCTCAGAACTTGAAGATGAAATGGTAATTAAAGGAAAAACCAAAGAACTATTAATTAAACAACTCAAGACCTGTGAAAAGAAAATGCAACAACTCACTGACTCCATCAAAAGACCAAACTTGAGAATCATGGGCATCGAAAAAGGAGAAGAGGTGCAAGCGAAGGGAATGCGTAATATATTCAACAAAATAATAACGGAAAATTTCCCAAATCTAGAGAAAGATATTCCCATACAGATGCAAGAGGCCTCCAGGACACCAAACAGACCAGATCAAAATAGAACTACTCCACGACATATCATCATTAAAACAACAAGTTCAGAAACTAAGGAAAGAATATTGAAGGCTGTAAGAGAGAAAAAACAAGTAACATACAAAGGTTAACCCATCAAAATCACAGCAGACTTCTCAACAGAAACATTAAAAGCAAGAAGAGCGTGGGGTGAGATCTTCCGGGCACTGAATGAAAATAACTTCAATCCCAGGATACTCTACCCAGCAAAGCTATCATTCAAAATAGATGGAGCAATAAAAGTCTTCCATGATAAGCAGAAACTAAAACAATATGTGACCACAAAGCCACCATTACAAAAGATTCTGCAAGGGATCTGCACACAGAAAGTGACCCAACTTAACCATGAAAAGGCAG